GATGCAGCCCAGGATACGGTTGGCTTTCTGGGCTGCAAGCGCACATTGCCGGCTCATGTTGAGCTTCTCATCCCACAGTACCCCCAAGTCCTTCCCCTCAGGGCTGCTCTCAAGCCACTCTCCACCCATCCTGTACTTGTGTTTGGGATTGCCCCGACCCACATGCAGGACCTTGCACTTGGCCTTGTTGAACTTCATGCGGTTCACGCAGGCCCCCATCTCCAGTCTGTTAAGGTCCCTCTGAATGGCATCCCTTCCCTCCAGCGCGTCAACCACACCACACAGCTTGGTGTTGTTGGCAAACTTGCTGAGGGTGCACTCAGTCCCACTGTCCATGTTGCCGACAAAGATACTGAACAGTACCAGCCCCAGTACCAACCCCTGAGGCACACCACTCGTCACTGGTCTCCACCTGGACATCGAGCCATTGACAACAACTCTTTGTGTGCGCCCATCGAGCCAGTTCCTTATATAATGAGTGGTTCATCTGTCAAATCTATGTCCTTCCAATTTAGAGACAAGGACATCCTGCGGGACAGTGTCAAATGCCTTGCACAGTGAAAACAGTTTTATATACGATCTGTTGAATACTTCTGCAGCTTGCCATAACACTAAGAAAATAAGCACAAAGCCTTTTTTGATAGTTAAGTCCTAGAGGGGCTTGCTATCACCCAGAAAAAAAAATGAGGACTCTTCATTTCTTTTACTCACTCTATCAAGCATCCTCGTGCAGCCTGTCTTGACCTGCATTCTAACACAGCTGAGATGGTTCACTTTTCTTCTGCTAGTACAGTCTCCTTTTTTATATTTTATTTTCTCCTTTAGAAGAACCTAGTTTGAGGTTCCTAGATTGCTTGACGTTTTGGATCACATTTTCACAATTCCAAGTTACTGCTCTCATGTTCCATCTGAACATGAGGAAGAACTTCTTCCCTCTGAGGGTGACGGAGCACTGGAACAGGCTGCCCAGGGAAGCTGTGGAGTCTCCTTCTTTGGAGATATTCAAGACCTGCCTGGACAAGGTCCTGTGCAGCCTGCTGTAGGTGACCCTGCTTTGGCAGAGGGGTTGGGCTAGGTGATCCCCAGAGGTCCCTTCCAATCCCCCTACCATTCTGTGATTAGCACAGCCTGATGAGTCAAGCTTTATATTTTGCAGCTTTCTTTGCTCAAGCACACCAACAGAAATATTTTGGCCACCTTGACTTCAAGGACTCTTACAGCTTCTCCCCAGCCATACATAGTTTTGCCCTGCTAATACAGATGTCTTATGGATAAGTGTGCAAGTTGAAATGAAACAGGTAGATGGTGGAACGCAGTATTGCGGGACTGTTTCTCTGCTAGAGGCTGTTCCATATGTCAGCTTCAAGACAGACTGCTTTACCTTCATCCTTGAAGAGCTGGTGTCTCATGGAAACCAAGTTTGCCTCCTAGGAGGCTAGGCATAGGATGTAATTCATTCTTAGGCTTAGCACTGTTGCACTGTCTTTCCTTGCTGCTCAGAGCCTGCGTTGAGATCGCTGGGTGGTTGGGACCTGCGCTTCCCTTGCTGTATTCCATCTCTCGGTCTCAGCTTTGTCAAGGTTTCTTGGAGGCTCCCAGGCTTGTCTTGCGTGGGACCAGCAGCAGCGTGTCCTGAATTTAGCACCACCCCTGATGGGGAACTGCTCTTTTTGGCAGTCCCTGGGAGCCCGTCTTTGGTCAGCCTGAGGGCTCTGCTGCTGCTGTGTGCACCCTGCATAGTGCGTGCACTACGCAGGTGTCCCTACTGCATATACGTTTCAAGCTGGCTGTTTTTGAGACCACTGGTATTTTAGTCTGTTTGGTATTAGTACCAGGTCCAGATACGATAGAGCTGCATAAACACACATTTCTATGTAAATAAGGAGCATCAGGTCTTGTAAAGTTGTGGGGTGATGAGGCATACACCTCAGCTGATGGTGTAAACAGGAATGCTAACCAGAGCAGCTAGCATTTATTCCTTCACTGAAGGGGGAAGCAGAGTAGATGTAATTCGTTTTTAAGGATCAGCCATTTATGAATGACAGTTAAATCCGTCCACAGCACAGTCTCGTCCACCCTGATCTTAGCAGAAACAAGAACAGATGTAGGCATTTTGGCCCTTACTCTTTTGTTGTTCTGTCACATTTCTCCTCGTCCAG